AGCATCTGTTGAGCCCTCAGAACCTCATCCCCGGGAGCCGTCAGGACTCTTGAGTTGTAAGAAATAGACACTCTCAGGAGGCTGAGGCAGGAGAATTGCTTGAACCCAGGAGGCGGAGGTTGCGGTGAGCCGAGATCGCGCCATTGCACTCCAGCCTGGGTAACAAGAGCGAAACTCCGTCTCAAAAACAAAAAAAAAGAAAAAGAAAAGAAATAGACAGTAGTGCCTCAGAGGACCCAAGTGTGTGGGGAGCAGCCGGAACGGGAAGGATCTGCAAGGCCGAGGCCACACCCCACTGACCGTACCCTCCTCACAAGCGTCAGCTAAGGCCTTCTCGCCATAGCCTGGCTTCCTCTGGTGTCACCACATGACATAAATGGCCACCCCGTGGCTCACAAGCCGCCATCGGGATGGCTCAGCACCACACACCGCACGCAGGCCAATCCCGCTTCGCTGGTCGGCTCTCCGGTTGCGGGAAAGAACCCACGTAGCCAGCTCGGGTCACGGATCTCCCCCTGTAACGGATGGAGGGTGATCTGGCAGAAACATGGCTTCAGGGGCCAGCCCCGTAGGCAGCATAACTCCTACCCGCCTCACGCACCTCTTCACGCCAGGCCCTGTGCTGGGGACTGTGGACAGAGGTGACGACCCTCCAGGGCCTGCTCAGGAAATATTTGAGCTGGGTTTTGAGAAATGAGTGAGCGTTTTTCAGGTGGAGAGGTGGGCAGGTTGTAATGGGTGAGGTGGGATTCTGTGTCTGAGGCAAGGACCCCACAGAAAGAGAAGATGGCGCCCAGCTCTCTCCCCTCTGTCTGGGTGGAGTGGAGAATGTGAAGGCGTGGAGGGATCCCCGAGGGAGACCAGCCTAATGTGTTGTTTGGATTTGAGATTCACTGTGCATTTTCCTCCTCCCGCCACCACCCACAGCTCCAGAAATCAGACGTCCCTTCTCCAGTGGTTGGGCTGAGGGTGATATGGAGAGTTGTTCTGTTTGTTTGTTTGTTGTTTGTTGTGTTAAAGCAGGGCACGCTGCTGCTCTGAACAAAATAGAGGCTCTGCTGGGAAGGAAAAAAGGGAAAGAGGACGTTGGGCAGAAACCCTCAGCCTACGAGCTGGGTACCCTTGATTTCCAGCATCTGACTCTGAGTCTGTGCAAGAGCTCGGGGGAGCTGCACCAGGAGGGATGGAAGGACATGCTGCCCCAGAAACACTGGCGAGAGAGGGAGGAGGCTGGCAAAGGGACTGGCACTGGTCTCCTAGGAAGAATGACTGTGCAAAGGTGAGACGTGGTCTGGAAGAAGACTTGGGGGCAGCGTGCATGTGCGTGTGAGAGACATTTGGAGAGCGGGCATTCCGAGGCCGGGTGTTTCAGTGGTTAAGTATGTGGATGGTATTGCCAGGAAGATCGAGGACTGTGGTGACCAACCTGTCCCAGTATGCTGGAGGCTTTCCTGGCTTTGGCACCAAAAGTCGGTGTCGTGAGCAGGCATACCTGGACGCTTGCCCTCCCTGGGACTTGCTAGCTATTACCTAACTTCTCTGTGCCGCAGATTCCTCCTCTGTAAAATGGATCTAATGGATACCTATTTTGGCTGGGTGTGGTGGCTCATGCCTATAATTCCAGCAGTTTTGGGAGGCCGACATGAGCAGATTGCTTGAGCCCCAGGAGTTCAAGACCAGCCCGGGAAACATGGCAAAATCTCATCTCTACAAAAAATACAAAAATCAGCCAGGCGTGGTGGCACACTCCTGTAGTCCCAGCTTCTCAGGAGGCTGAGATAGGAGAATCACCTGAGCCTGGGGAGGTCGAGGCTGCAATGAGCCATGATCATGCTCCTGTACTCCAGCCTGGGCAGCACAGTGAGACTCTGCCTCAATAATTCATCATAATAATAATATCTACTCTATTGAACTATTGTGGGTGTTAAACAAGAGAGTTTGTATAAAGGACCTAACCCAGTGCCTGGCATAAAGACATACTCAACAAATACCATCTATTTATAATAAATTATATTAGATATGTAGGCTTTTTCTGGGCAGTCCGAAGCTGGGAAACTGGACCATTCTGTTTAGTGTAAGGAAAAATTTCCTTACAGATCATGGGAATTGCCATGGTGTTCAAATAAAGGCTGATGTAGGGCCTGGTTGTGAAGTGGAATGTAGAACTAGCTTCTTCCTGATCCAGAAATTTCTTTTTTCGTTGGTTTGTTTTTTTGAGACGTGGTCTTGTTCTGTCACCCCAGCTGGAGAAGTGGCCCAGGCTGGCAGAAGATTCATAGTTCTCTGATACATAGTCATCCTCTTCTCTCTCTCTCTCTCTCTTTCTCTTCTTTTCTCTTCTCTTCTTTCTTTTTCTTTCTTTCTTTTTCTGAGGAGGGGAGCTAGCTCGTCAGAGAGAGCTGCCCCTTTTCTTCTCATCAGGAATTCCCGTCGTGGGAGAACCCCCTGGAGCTGCTTGGATGGAGACAGGGAGACACTGCAGCTGAGAGTCCAGGGACCTGAGTTATGCTAATGACAGGAGTGGCCGTGAAGGGCTCTCTGCCGTCCTGGCTAATGGGGCTGCCTCAGGAGAGGAGCTGCTAGCCCAGGCCGGCAGGATTTCCATCAGCCAGCTGCTCGCCTCCCCGAGCCCCAGGCTGTGGGACTAGAACAGCCCTGCTCGGGAGCTCTGCTCGGTGTCCGTGTGCGAGAGTGTGTGTGCTTCCCTCCCCGCCCATCCTCCATGTAATTCCCCAGCCCCGCCCCCTGCCCTTTGTCCTCTAGCAGTTTAGCTGAAGACTATGCTGAGGCAATTAATAGGGCCCTTTGAGGACGTGTCACCAGAAAGCTCTTTAACCCAGTCACTTGAGTTCGGGGCCCCAGGCACATGACAGAGATGGAGGAGGGGTGCCTGGGTCATATGACAGCTGCTTGGGTGAGGCACAGGCGCCATGTAGAAGCCAGGTCGGGAGGCCTGGACTCCTTGGACATATAGGTTATGTGGACATAGCAGGGGTCACTGTTTTTCACTGTAGTTGGTCTCTTACTAGAATTTTCGTCTTGCTAGCCAGTGGCAGAACCAAGGTCTTAGAGGAGGGGTGCCAAGCAACACACCTGCTGACTACAGGGTCCATCACAGGAAAAATCCCCCCCGCATGTGGCACCTTACAAGAGAGGGGACACTGAGTGGTGGAAGGCATGTGTTAGCGTGCAGGGGGATGGGCAGAAACCTCTCTGCTCAGCTCTTCCTACCCCAACGCCTTGCTCCTGGGAGCCCTGGGGAGCTGGTGGGGAAGGAGTTCCGGTCGAGGAAAGGCCTCATAGGGGCAGGAGAGGATTAGGCAGGGGGAGGGCCTTGGGTCTCCAGGCCTGCCTCTGCCATGTCTGACTTTATAGTCTCTCATACAACAACCATCGTCTGTAGCCAGACCACGCCGGGGCAGCAGGAGCACCGGTGCTCAGGTGGACCCAGTCTACAACTGTGTGTATTGTGTGTGTGGTGGGTGGTGTCTGCTGCGTGTACGCTCGGGGCCTGCCCACCTGACCCTCATGACTGGGCAGTGGGGCCGCCACTGTCTCTCAAAACTCCTTTCCACTAGCAATGAACCTGGCTTTGGTTCTCGCCAGCTCCTCTGGTCGCCACTAGAGGGCAGCAGCCAACGCAACCTGGCAAGGGGAACTTTGGTGCCCGACTCCCGACCCTCCTGCTTCCTCCTTCCACGTGTTGCAAACTTCCCAGCCCCTAGGGATGTGCAGGTCCCCGCCGTGTGGGCGGACCACTGGGACAACAGATCCTGCTAAGGATGTCCTTGGCCTCAGGCATAGTGAATGTGTGAGTCTGTTAGAATGAGAACAGGAGTGGGTGAAGTCAGTGGTGGGAGCCAGAAGTGGGCAGGGGTGGTCAAAGCCAGAACCCTGAGGTGTATTCATTTGTTTCTGCAAGCATAAAGGCAGGAGGAGAGAAGGAAAAGCCCGCAGGACCAGGCAGCCTGCAGGGAGATGAGGCAGGACTCAGTCCACTGGCCAAATGGTACGTGATGACAAGGCAGGCAGACTCACCCTAAATGCAAAGGCAGGTGACTCCTTGATGTTGTAGCATGTGTCAGAATTTCACTTCATTTTAAGGCTAAATAATATTCCATTGCATGTTTATAGCACATTTTGTCTGTCTTTTCGTCAACCGATGGACTTTGGGGTCGTTTCCATCTTCTGATCATTGTGAATAATGATTATGAATATTGGTGTACAAATGTCGTTGCTTTCTCAGTTCTTTTGGGTATATACCGAGAAGTAGAATTGCTAAATCATATGGTAATTGGTTTTTTGGGGGAATATGTATTTATTTTTATGCATGAAAAATATGATTCGGAAATAAGCCTACTAGACTCCTATTCTTCATACGTTATTTTGCATTCCTGTCTCGGCCACTAGATGGGAGACTTGTTGACAAGGACAAAAGGGTTCCAGGTGCTCCTCAGGAACCCTCCCAGAGGTGTAGTAAATGCATCCAGCGCCCAGTGGGCGCCCTGCGTGCCCGGCACAAGGTGAGGTGCGGGCGACACAAAGGTGCGGAAAGTACCCCAAAAGAACAGCCTAGAGGGGAATCAGGCCTGAGGATGACCGATTAAAATCCCCCAACTCCTGACTGTGTCGCTTCCTGGATGTATGACCCAGGGCAAGGTAACTTCCTTTGGCCCCAGCTTCCCCATCCATAAAATGATTTACATCATCTGCTAAAATTTCCGGCAAGAATACACCTGGCCTTTATCACAGAGCGTGGCACGTTAGGAATTCAATAATTTTGTCCATGTCACCTGCGAAAGCAAGAGACAGTTTAGTGCACAGGGAGGGGCTGGAGGCTGCACTCCGACTCCGGATACGGGCGTCTGGTGCCCGCCCCTGGGGACCGTCCCGCCTCCCCCCGCGGCTGCCGCCGCCTGCATTCGTTCCCCTGAGTGGAGCGAGGGAGCCTGGTGGTCCGCGAGCGCGGGGCAGCGGCGGTTGGCCCTCCTCTCCTGCGGGCGGCGCTAGCGCGAGCCTGGCCCCGAGCAACACTCGAGCCTGGCTCCTCTCCGCGGCGGCGCACCGTCGTCCTGCCGTCCGCGGGGCGGAGACGCGGCGGCCGCGGCGGTGGCGGCTCTGTGTCGCCGGAGCCGAAGCGCGCAGGCCCGTCCCGGCGGCCGGGGAGCGGGCGGGGGCGCCATGTGGTTCATGTACGTGCTGAGCTGGCTGTCGCTCTTCATCCAGGTGGCCTTCATCACGCTGGCCGTCGGTGAGACTGCACGACCCCGGCCCGCGCGGGCCCCCGCCCCAGCATCGGTGCTCGTTGGGGGTCGCGTCGCGGGGGTTTCGGGGCCACTCGGGGTCAGCTGCCCTGCGCTCCCAGCCTTCGCTGTCCCAATCCCATCTCGCCTGGTCCTGCACCTTCTGCCGAGCCCGGCAGCCCGACCTGGCCGCGGCCCCTTCCAGGTGTCACAAAGTCCGCCCCGGCTGTGCACGGGACAGGCTGACTCGAGCGCCCCGCCCGCGCCTGCGGACCGCTAACCGCTGCCGCTCCCACTCTTCCCCGGCCCGCCGCGCGGAACTTTTCCCCGCCGCCTTTGCCCCTCTGGCCCTTCATACTTGCTTCTCTCCTCACCTTTGACACTTCCCGTCTGGCTAGTTCCCACTCCGCCTCAGTTGAGATACCCTCTCCTCCGGGAAGTCCACAGGGGTCGATGGTCCAGCAGTGCCCTGTCCTTTCCCTAAAGTAGCATTTCTCACGCTGAACTCGTCTGTCTCTCCTCCCTACTTGTTCTCCTTCCCCTTCCCAAGCTGAGTCAGGGAAGGATCCTTGTCTGTCTTGTTCAGCTGTATCCTCAGCTCAAGGACCTGGCTCTTGCCAAGTGCCCAGCAGGTGTTTATTGAATACGTGAAATTCCGCTTTCTGAGGCAGAGATTAGCACTGTACTGAGGCATCAAATGCAGACTTTCATTGGTTTTTGTGGGATTTCTCCTTAGTTGCCCTAACAAAGTGTTACTTCTCCAGAGTTGGAAGGGCAAACGCATGGGATGTTTAGTTTGTTCTTGACCTTCTGGAGTCCATGAAGGGTGGATGGGGACTGGGCTGCAGAGAGAGGGGTGACCAGGATGGTGGGAGTGACCCTGGCTGATGGTCTCCCCGCTTGCCCTTCTCCCCACCCCCCAGCGGCTGGACTCTATTACCTGGCAGAACTGATAGAAGAATACACAGTGGCCACCAGCAGAATCATAAAATACATGATCTGGGTAAGTGGCAACTTTCTCTGGGAGTCCTCCTCACTCTTTTGCCCTGCCTCAAAAGAGGAAGTGGGGAGAGTTTGGCATGGATGATGAGGCCTGTGTCTCTGCTGTTTCCTGAGTATACACTCTTACCTCCTTGCCTTGAGTGCTGTCTGTTATGTATGCGCTCCTGGGCCCAGATCTTCCCTAACCTCCTTCCCCAAGTGGCATTGTTTCGCTGCAGACCTTCTCCTCTAGCCCTTAAGGTGACAGTCAAGTGTACATTCTCTGGTGACAGGACCATGGCTTTGACTTTGCTTAGCTGTCTTCTACTGTCTTTAGCCCTTTGCCCTGTTCACAGCATTTAAAACTTAGAGGAGCCGTAAGACGGTTTTGAGTATTTGTTCACTGCTCTCTTTCTAATCGGATCAAGTGATTTGTCCTAAGAGGGGCACAGCTTCGCTGGCCTCGCCCTCCCTTGGTCTCATGGGAGGCTTCTCTTACTGAAGACACAGTCCTTGCCACTGATGTCAAAGCCATAGGGTGACTGCTTGTGGACAGACTTCCTTCAGCTGCAGGAAAGGCTGGGGGTAGGGGTGAGGGTAGGGGTGCCCTTGGACAGAAAGCGTCCACAGCCCCTTAAGTCGCCTGGTGTTGGCAGCCACTTGCACTCTGGGCATGGCCTGAGGTTGGGAGTTCACAGTGGAGACAAGACTGTAGCCCTCAGCTCTGATCCAGAGGCCCAGCTTGTGGGTGTTGGTACAGGAATTAGCCCTTCATTCAGCCAACTGTCATTTGTTAAGCACTGACAACTGTAGGTCCTTCTGAGTCGTGTTTTTCAAACTGTAGGCTCGATTCATTATTGGGCTATGTAATTAATTCAGTAGGTTATGATCAGCATTTAAAGGAACATAAATATAATTGAAATTTGAGCTTTGATCATATGTATGTATATATGTGTTGGGGGTCACAGTGTTAAATGTTTTTCTCTTTGAGACAGAGTTTTGCTCTTGTTGCCCAGGCTGGAGTGCAATGGCACCATCTTGGGTCATTGGAACTTCCACCTCCTGGGTTCAAGCGATTCTCCTGCCTCAGCCTCCCTAGTAGCTGGGATTACAGGCATGTGCCACCATGCCCTGCTGATTTTGTATTTTTAGTAGAGACAGGGTTTCTCCATGTTGGTCAGGCTGGTCTCGAACTCCCGACCTCAGGTGATTCCCCCCCCACCTTGGCCTTCCAAAGTGCTGGATTACAGGTGTGTAATCTACCATGCCTGGCAGATGTTTTTCTTACTGTGGGTTGCTGTCAAAAAGTTTGAGAAATGGGTTGGCTACAGTGGCTCACACCTGTAATCCCGGCACTTTGGGAGGCTATCAGACGTTTGAGACTAGCCTGGCCAACGTGGTGAAACCCTGTCTTTACTAAAGATACAAAAATTAGCTGGTCGTGGTGGTGTATGCCTGTAGTCCAACTACTCAGGAGGCTGAGGCAGGAGAATTGCTTGAACCCAGGAGATCTTGCCACTGCACTCTAGCCTGGATGACAGAGTGAGACTCCATCTCAAAAAAAAAAAAAGAAAAAAAAAAAAGTTGCCTTTGGGAGCAGAGTATCTAGTTGGGGAGGCCAGACCTGTGAAATGAGGAGATTGAAGCATGAACCTAGTGCTGCCCTTAGCATGCTGGGGGTTGGTGAGTCCAGGAAGGTTGCCTGGAAGAAGCGCCCTGCACTGTCTGCCTCTGGTTGTTTCAGTTCTCCACCGCTGTACTCATCGGCCTCTACATCTTTGAGCACTTCCCCACCAGCATGATTGGCGTGGGCCTCTTCACCAACCTCGTCTACTTTGGCCTCCTCCAGACCTTCCCCTTCATCATGTTGACCTCGCCTAACTTCATCCTGTCGTGTGGTGAGAGGGGACAGGGTTGGGGAGGCAGCGGACGTGGTTGGGTGTGCCCATCTCCATCCTGGGCACTAAAGGGGATACAGAGAAAGGAAGTCAGCCGCTGAAGTCCTCCAGAGGCCAGGCTGATTGGCGAGATGTAGTTGCCACTCGTGAGGACTCTAGAGCCCACCTTGGCTCTAGTGACTAGAATTTGTTGGAGCTGGGGGCTCGGACAGGGAGGGCTTTCCCAGAGAGGTAAGTTTGAAGAAGAGTTTGGGAAATAAGAGGTTGTGGATTGGCTGAGGCAGGGCCCCTAGCTGAGCAGTTCCAGCCTCAAAAAAAAATCACTTGGCCAGAAAAAGCCCAAAGCCTTTCTTTAGTAGGCAGGCAGGCAGCTCCCCATCCAGTCTTCTGACCCAGAGTCATGGTTAGGACTGGAGCCTCATAGGGCTGTGAGTGCCCTGCAGACTCTGGCCTGGTGTGAATGCCTCCTGGGGGCCGCAGCTTCTCATCCCATTCTCACTGGTTGCTGCTCCCTCGGGCGTGAGCCTGGGTGTGGCGGACCCAGTCTTCTTGGCTTTGCCTGGCCACCACTTTCTGACCCTGGGGAATCATTGCCCTTCTTTGGGCCTTAGCTTCTCCATCTCTTTAGAGAGGATGTTTCTTGAAACAACTGTTGGGAGACTCAGTGGGCATATAGGAGCTCTGTATAGATATTTACAGATATTTGGAAAAGGCTTCGCAAAGTATTTTGGTTGCCAAGATTGCCATTGCTCCTGTTCATCATTACTGCCCACCCTAGCTTTTGGTCAGGATATCACATGGAGTTAGGGGTTTTCTAGAGTGACTTTTCTATTTCTGTGAGAGAGCCCAGAGAGTGAGTATTATCCACACAGAGGGCATATTATTAAAGCCAAACTGGTCTCTTCCTTGGGTGCTTGGTGTGATTTCACCAAAGAATTTGTTCAGCAGAGATTTGTTTAGGAAGCCCTTCCAAGGAGACCAGGCCCCTCTGTCCCAGGGAAAAACTCCTGCCCTCAACCCCTCAGCAGCAGGCTCCCCTGACTCTTGTCATTCCCTTGACCTGCTCTTTGATACCTAAAAGAGTTTGTCCAAAAGATCTTGTAGGTACCAGCCACTATCCTACCTCCCATTATCTTTTAGCTCTAGAGTGTGGCTAGGCATAGCAGAACTATAGTCTTTGCCTTAGAATGGGAGAGGCAGGGGAGAAGAAAGAAGACATGGTCATTGCTGTCAGGTGTGTATGAGGGGACAGTCAGTTTCAGGAGCCATGTTCTTTCTAGTGCCTGCCCTTCACCTCACCATGGGAACAGGCAGGGATGACTGTCTCTTGAGCAGCCTGTGTCCAGGATATGCATATGTGCCCTCTGTTGTAAACTCAGTTGCATACTAAGGAGGGGCAGCTGTGTATGTCCAGAACATATCAGTTCACACCAGTATGCCTTACCTCAGGGCAGGATGGGGACCCCCCTCCCCCAGAACACTGAGGAACCCAAAGATTGCACCTTAAAGCATCTAGCAAGTCTTTTTTTTTTTTTATACTGTAAGTTCTGGGGTACATGTGCAGAACCTGCAGGTTTGTTACATAGGTATACACTATGTAACAAACATCATGTGCCATGATGGTTTGCTGCATCCATCACCCCGTCATCTACATTAGGTGTTTCTCCTAATGGCATCTAGCAAGTCTTGCCCTTTCATTCTGGAGGAGTGAGAGCCTTTGATTTGAGCAGGACTTCTCCCTGCTGCCCAGTTTGGAGTAGAGCCTCTTAAGGGCATCTAATCTGCACACCCATGACTTCTCTCTACCTGCCACTGTGGGAGAGCTTTCTTTAGCACTCATATCCTCTAAAAACGAGGTTAATTGTCAATGATGCTTTGGATTATGTAACATAGAAGTCTCATTTTTATAACATGCAAAGCGCTTTCTTACCTTCTAATTTTACTCAGAATGCCCTGTGCAGTGGGCAAGTTGAGGCTCATTCTCCCGTTTTAACAGAAGAATGGGAAATAGTTCTAGGCAATAGCCTACCCTGAGTTGAGTGTAAAGTCAGGCCAGAGACTCCTTGGAGGCTCCCAACTTCTGACGACCTTTTGAAGTGAAAAGTACAGCTTTCTCTTATTCCCCTTAAACTGACTGACTCTTCATTCCCTCAACAGGATTAGTGGTGGTGAATCATTACCTAGCATTTCAGTTTTTTGCAGAAGAATATTATCCCTTCTCAGAGGTAAGAAGTGTCAAGTACATTCAGCTGTTAACAGGGACAGGGGAGTAAAAGGGAACTTGCATGGTTTACTCTGCGAACTTAGCTATGATTTGAAACTGAATCTGTTCAAGGATTACATGTTTGAAAAAAACCAAAACATAGATGGTTAGAGAGAGCAGTATGGATGGGGACAGAAGGCATAGATGGTTAGAGAAGACAGTGTGAGAGGCCGGGCGTGGTGGCTCACGCCTGTAATCCCAGCACTTTGGGAGGCTGAGGTGGGTGGATCACAAGGTCAGGAGTTCAAGACCAGCCTGACCATCATGGGAAAACCCCATCTCTACTAAAGATACAAAAAGCAGCTGGGTATGGTAGTGGGCAGCAGTAATCCCAGCTACTCAGAGGCTGAGGCAGGAGAATCACTTGAACCCGGGAGGTGGAGGTTGCAGTGAGCTGAGATCACACCACTGCACTGCAGCCTGGATGACAGAGTGAGACTCCATCTCAAAAAAAAAAAAGAAAAGAGAAGGCAGTGTGGATGGGAACAGGAGGTATAGACGGTTAGAGAGAGCAATGTGGGTGGGGACAGAAGGGGTACCTTTGGCTGAGACAGGGAGGACACTGCTCTTCCTAAGTGAGTCCTTTGGGTTCCCCTGGGGGGGGGTCATCCTGAGGTCAGGAAGGAGCACTAGGGTGGCCTTCTGTGACACAGTCCTCACAGGGCAAGGGTGGGCTGCAGTTCTGAGCCCCAGCTTTTCCCAGTGGCTGCCAAGGTTTTCTTCCCTCACAATTTCTCCACACCCTGCTGCTCCAGTTTGAACCTCTGGGAAGAGCAAGGTCACTTCTTTGGGGAGTGTGGGTCAGTCAGTCATGGCTTAGCACTTCATTTGCCTCCTTCAGTCCAGGGGAGTTGTTTCCTGGTGACCAAGATGTAGGGATTGCGGCCACATTCAAACATCGTCAGCTCTCACCTTTCCCCAGAAAAGTATTTTCATGTCTGAGGGTGGCTCTCCCCACGTCCCAGCTCTGGGCCCCTGATGGAGATCAGGTGTGGCCCTCTGTGCGCTCTTGACCAACACGCAGTGACCACACCCAGCCCACTCTTGGCACCTCCAGGTACCCTCTTCTTAGTCTCTCTTGTTGCCAGGTCCTGGCCTATTTCACTTTCTGCCTGTGGATAATTCCATTTGCGTTTTTTGTGTCACTTTCGGCTGGGGAGAATGTCCTGCCCTCTACCATGCAGCCAGGAGGTGAGAAGGGGTTTTTAAGGGGCCGAGGTGGGAGCAAGCCAGCAAGGCTTGGGTTGGCAGGGGTCCACTGAGGGAACCAGAGTCTAGCCCTGTGTTGGAGACACCTGGGCTCAGAGTTGGGATAGCTGTGTTCACACACACACACACACACACACACACACACTCACTCTCACACACTCACTTTCATCTTCTTGCCTGTGTCTCCACAGATGACGTCGTCTCCAATTATTTCACCAAAGGCAAGCGGGGCAAACGCTTAGGGATCCTGGTTGTCTTCTCCTTCATCAAAGAGGCCATTCTACCCAGTCGTCAGAAGATATACTGACCCCCATGTGGGCAGGATGTGGGGGCAAGATCAGGAGGGTCAGGCCCCTGGGCCTCTATGCCAGGTGGGGGCCGGAAGCCGGAAAGGCTCCCAACACCAGCCCCGGCATTCCTCCCCTCAACTCTGAAGCCCCATCCCTTTCCTCCTTGGTGGGGGCTCAGCTTGGCTCAGATCTGATGCTGCAGGAGGCTGCAACCTCAGAGGGCACCAGGGAGGGTGGCAGAGCCTGCTTAGCCAGGAGGCCGAGGTCCCGCAGCCCTCCCTTGTCCCTTCCAAGGTGGGTCAGGAGGTTCTGGTCCAGCTGGGGCAGGCAGGGCCGGGTCTGTGAAGCTGAAGAGCAGATGGTAACAAGTTCTCTGGGCAGGTGGCCATGGGGAGGGGCCATGGCTTGGCATGTCCAACAGAAATAGTTTTTGCTGTTGAACTGTGATTTCTGTCCAAATGCGGATTTCCATTTGAATAAAGCTTCTAGGTGGCACTGTTTGCCTTAATACCCTGACAGTTCATCTTCCTTTCTTCCTGCTAACCTTCCGCCCTGGATTGGACTCACTTTTCTGCTCCAGGGACTCCTTTTCTGGGTTTGGGTCTTGCCCTTCCTAAGGGACTGTTCTTGTAGCTCTTAGTGGAAAGGGGGCAGGGTTGAGGAGCTGAGCCTGGTCAGGGAGTGGGAAGTGGGCCTAGAGGCAACCTCTCTGATGCACTCTCTTCCATCTCTTTCCCCAAGGCTCTGTGACTGTCAAACTGGGAGTAGGAGAGGGGACAATTCAGGACTGGGCTAGATTTTCAGAAGAACATCTACAATATCCTATTTATAAATCTTCCTCTGGGAGAAGGAGTGGTTTCTGGCTGAATGCTATCTTAGGCTCAAGGAGAAACAAAATAAAAATCAGCTTCCAGGCAGCCTGATTTTAAAGTAATGGGACTAATGGGAGAAGCTGTTTGTCCCTGTAAGAGCATCCGAGGTCTGGCCCTCTTCTGTGCACTCTTGGCTCCTGGGGAGATATCTCTGCCTTCTAAGAAGGCAGGCCAGGTCTTCGGCACAGACCAGCATTTGTTGACCTTGCACTCCAACTACAGTGCCTTGCAAGTGCTCAACCATAAATATTGGAATGAAGTCCCCAGGAGAGCCATTTCTGGCCATGTTCTATACCTCAAAGTGAGGCTAGCAGGTGCAGAGATGCACTGTACACATGTGATATCTTTAAGCCACTGGAAAAACCCCTGTGCTTGAAAATATTTCCTCTATATCATGCCTGAAGTCATAGCCCTTCATTTCCTTGACTTTAGCATTTATCTTCTCTTAATACCAGCTTTCCCTTTCACCAAGAGGAAGAGCACATTTTGGTCTTCTCTCACAGTAACTGTGACGGCTAGGCCCTTTTTTCCTATGCAGACCAGGATACACAAGGCAGAGGACACTGGAGGCCAGCCTCATCCTCCCTTTGGGCTGACAGCTGGCCCTTCTCTCCTCCCTCTGCTGCTTGGTTCCTCACCTTGATGATGTGGCTTTGCCCCCTCCACTCTACTGCCATTGCTCTCCCAGGGGTTGCTAAATCCAGCGGACCCCTTTCATATCTTACTGGATCTGGGCAGCATCTGACATGGCTGATTACCCCTTGCTTCTTGGATTGCACTTCCCTGGTACCTCTGTAGCTAGTTGTCCTCTTACCTCTCTGGCTGTTTCTTTCAGACTCCTGTGCAAGCTTCTCCACTTGCCTGTGCACAGTAGGGTCTTTCAGAGTTCCATCGTGGGCTCCCTAGGGAAGCCCATCCATCTGGATGATTTCAGGGACTGCAGAGGCATTGAGTTGACCTCTAGCCCCGACATCCTTCCTGATCACCTGAACCACAGTTTTGCTGCCTTCTGGGTGCATAGATGATTCAAGTCCATGGCCCAGATGGTACCTGCTGTCCTCTGCAAACCTGCCCCTTCTGGGTACTTGCCTTGGCCCTGAGATCACTCAGGAGCCAGACAGGAAACCTGTCTTCTATTCCTGTTTTCTCTTTCTGCCCACCATGTCCAGTTTCTCAAAGTGGTCAAGTCTACCTTAACATCTGTTGATTTGAGCCACTCTTACTGTCATCAGCTTTCACCTGGATTACTGTGACAGCCTCCTGCTGCTTCTCTATCCCCTGGCCAGACCTGTCTCCCTAAAATGCATTGCATAGCTGATCAAGTCACTCTCTGGCCTGAAACCCTCCATGGCTTCCCACTGCCCTCAGGATAAAGTCCGGACCCCTCAGCATGGATTGTGAGACTCATGGTGTCCTGGTCCCTGCTCACCTCTCTGGTCTCATCACTTGCCTTCTTGCATTCTGGGTCCCAGCCTCCTGTATCCAGAGATACCGTGGCTCTCTCTTGCCACTGATTCTGCCTTTCTTTTGGTCACAGAGAAAGGATACTTCTCTCTGTCAAGTCTCAACTTGTCAAGTCTCAAACTTCCTCCAAGGAGGTTTAGCTATGCCCTCTCCTCCCCAACTCCCAGCCTGGCATACCACACAGATCACTCTGCACTCACATGCCTGCTTCATGCTCATCTCCCCACTAGACTGTAAGCTCCTTGAGGGCAAGGACTGTCCTGGAATTTTTGTATTAACAGTGCCTGGCTTGATGCCTGGCACCTAGAAATCACTCAATAAATGTTTGTTTAATGAATGAATTGTAGTGATGTGTACAAGGGGATACAGGGGAGCCAGTTAATTTTCTGGAGGACGTACAAGTGCTTTCATAGACTCAGATGGAAACCACACATCCTTCCCCTCCCTGGATGTGCTGCCCATGCCTCCTGGAATTGCAGAAACCGCAGTGACTGCTGGGAATAAGGATGGCAGCCCATAGTAGCAGCGAAGCCCATGCCAGGGAGACATACTAGCTGCTCTCCACCCCATTCTGGGTCTCAGCTTAGAGCCTGCAACAGGAAGGGCTTAATCTGAACAAGGAACAGAATTTCCCAGTAGGTCCTTCCATCCTGGAAGCCTGGGCCCTTCTGGGTGGGAGGGCAGTGGGGGTGCCGAAGTATCACTTTTACAATGCCAGGGTGAAGGATAGCGACTGACCCCCCACCCACTCTGAACCTAACATGGACTTTCTGGGCGGTGGGGAGGGGGCGGTGGTGGGTTGGGGGAGCAAGAGACTTATGTCCAGAGAGAAGGGAGGCCTGGGGTCTGGGCTTTTGATTGGAAAGGGAGACTCCTGTTCTTCAGCTTGGAAGTGGGAAGCCCATAGGCATCTCTCCCCGTTTCCTCCCCTCCCACAACGCGAATCGCCACACCTCAGCCTTCACTGGGCTGCCTCAGGTGGAGCGGTAGCCATAATAACTTTATGGGTGGGTTTGCAGGCAGGGAGAGACAGGGAGCCCTTGATGAGATCGCACAGCTGCCAGGAAGGCTTCATCAAATGTGTCACGCAGGTTCATGGTCAGAGTGTCGGTCCAGAAGGTGTCATCACCCAGGTGCCTCTTCCGGGGCACTTCCCTCATGCTGATGGGGTAAAATCCCTGGGGCACCTTCATTCTGTAAGGCCGCACACGTGGATATAGCGTGCGGAGTATCACTTCAAAAGGCAGCCGTGGCACTGGTGCCACCCAGTGGCCATCCACTGTGTGCAGCCGCGCACCTCCGTGCCCATCAGGTGTCACCTCCAGGAAGCTGCTGAAGTCGTGCTCCGGGCTGGGGTCTGGATGCACGCCCAGGCGGATGCCCTGTGGATGGCTGATCTGGGTGATGGGGGATCTGGCAGGGTTGTTGCTAACATTCCACATCATCGGCCGCTTGACCGTGAGCTTCCTGTAGATGGGCTTGGGCATCTCTGTGGGCTGTGGCATGGATTGCAGGCGCGCCTCCACAGAGGGGTGGAAGCTCCTGGAACACTGCGATCTCCGTTGCTCTGGGGTCTTGGAGAGGGCGGTGGCCTGGGCTTGCTTGGTGTTAGAGACCAGAGAGTGGCCTGGGTGCAGCTTGCCGTGGAGCCACTTTCTGATAGCAGCTTCTTTGAGAATTTTGTGCTCTTTCTACAACAACAGAGGGCACAAGACAGTCATGGAGGCCTGCTGCCCTCCGCTTCTGTACAAGGAGGTCCTGTATCCATAGCCTTTGGAAACTGTGATCTGACGGATGAGGGAAACCCTGAGTCTGATGAGAGGAACACCTACCTTACGGGAGCCTGTGTTGCAAAGAGGGAGACAGCTTTTCTCATAAGGGAGCCCCTGGGCTGAGGGGGGAGACAAAGCACCCCTCCCACGGAGGGAGATCTCCAATCTGATGGGGGAGATACAGCCTCTGCCCTAGGTGAGCCTCCAACTGACATGGGAGAGACAGTCCCTGACCTAGGGAAATCCTCAAGTCTTACAAAAAGACAAGTCCCCTCTTCTCCCTCCAAAGGAATCTTCAGTCTGATAGTGGAGACATGTCCTGCCATAAGAGAGTCTCTGGTGTGATGGGGGGAAAGACAAATGGGAAGTGCAAACAGCATCTTTGACTCTGGAAGGAGACAGGAGAAAGGACCGGATGGCCTGATGTGGACACACTTCATGGAAGTGATGGGCCTTGAGAAGTCAGGTAGGGAGGATACAGTTGGCTGGCTCTCCAGGTCTGGTGGTAGCAACTCAATCTAGCTCTGTTCTTGCCTCCACTGGAGCCTTCCATATGTTGTCACAGAACCTCCCCCACTCCCATTGTCTCACTGTCTCACTCCCAGACTGTTGCTAAGCAATCAGGGGCTTTGGAGATTGACCCAGCTCCAGACACAGGCTCTGCTTAGGCTAAGCCAATCACTGTAATTCCATCAGACCTTGCCCCAGACCTAAGTCAGTCAGCATATGGCTTTCCTTGAGTTCTAGCCAAGGAACCACAATGGGCACTTGAGCGAATCGACACCGTAAGAGATGAGGGGAGATGTAAGAAGCTTCTGAAAAAGGTTAGAGCTACAGGAAACAGATGGGCCTTGTCTCTTCGGGACAGTGTGTGACTCTGAGGACTGGTGACCCTGACATCAGAGGAGGATAGGCTGAGGAATGGAGAGAAATGCCACTGAAACAGACCGGGCGTGCCGGAGTCACCAGCTCCAAAGCCCTCCCCACTTCAGGATTCACTTAAGATTCCCAGTATCTTCTGAGTTTTCTGGGTTTTGCACCCTATGTAATTACACCTGCTTAAAATCCCTTCTTGCCCAGCCACGGTCCTTCACTGATCTGGGCCCCTGCCAAATCTTGTCAGCCTCTAACTTACATCTGATCCTCAGCTGCTCTGAGTTTTCAGTTCTCTGCATACATCATGTTCCCAGGTGCCTCTATGCCTTTCCACGTGGCTGCTGTTTATGCAGGTCAGCCGTTCCCTCCTTCATGTAGCCAGTTGCTGCACATGTTTAAAGACTCCTCTTAAGCATCATCCCTTCTGACACCCTCCTGGACCCTCTCCTCCTTGATGGGGATGTAACCTGCCTCCTCTGCTAGACTTTAAGCTCCTTGAGCATGGGGGTCACATATTCATCTTTGGACCTCAGGGTCTAGCAGGTGCCTGGCGCAGAGTGAATGCCCAGTGCCTGCTGGAAGGAAGGGTGGATCTTTTTAACCAGAGTGTGAGACCCAATTACAGGCAGGGCCTTGGTCTCATTAGAGGTTCTCATCCTGAAAGAGGAAGTGCATTAGGAGGGGCCCAGAAATATTTGCAAATTTAAGCTTGCTTAAATTGGCTTTCTTTTCTTTTCTTTTCTTTCTTTTCTTTTTTTTTTTTTTTGAGATGGAGTTTCCCTCTTTGTTACCCAGGCTGGAGTGCAATGGTGCGATCTCGGCTCACTGCAACCTCCGCCTCCTGGGTTCAGGCAATTCTCCTGCCTCGGCCTCCTGAGTAGCTGGGACTACAGGTGTGCGCCACCATGCCCAGCTAATTTTTGTATTTTTAGTAGAGACGGGGTTTCACCATATTGACCAGGATGGTCTCGATCTCTTGACCTCGTGATCCACCCATCTCCGCCTCCCAAAGTGCTGGGATTACAGGCTTGAGCCACCGCGCCCAGCCTTAAATTGGCTTTCTAACAGAAGGTAAGACTTTTGACCAAAAGACTGGCTTATTTAAAAGAGTGGAATTTCAGTCAGAGTACGGGGGGTTAGTACAGGGGAAAGGGTGGTTCTTTACGGGTGTGTTTCTAGCTTCTCCTCTACAATATGTGGGTCACTGTCCCCTCCGCTCACATGCCTGGATAGCAGCTGGTGCCTGGCCCCCTTGCTTTCCCCCTTACTTGATACTCAATCAGGTAGTTGTGCTCCATGAGAGCCAGCTGGCTCTTGAATGTCTTCATTTTCCCCATCTCACGGGCAAAATCCTTCTTGTCCTTTTTCCACATGGCATCCTTCAAGAACCTGGTACCAAGGTCGGGGTGGGAGTGTCATCCCACAGTGACAGAGCTTCCACCTGGGCTGGGAAGACTGGCTGCTGCTGAGGGCTTGGAGGGGGGTGAGGGGAGCTGCCAGAGGGAGATGAGCAAGATGAGCCATCCCTGTTGCCCAGGCTTTCTGGCTCCCTACTTCCTTTAGGTCAGGCATCCCCAAACTTTTTACACAGGGGGCCAGTTCACTGTCCCTCAGAACATTGGAGGGCCGCCACATACTGTGCTCCTCTCACTGACCACCAGTGAAAGAGGTGCCCCTTCCTGAAGTGCGGCGGGGGGGCCGGATAAATGGCCTCAGGGGTCGCATGCAGCCCGTGGGCCGTAGTTTGGGGAAGCCTGCGTTAGGTGAAAGAGGAAAGTCCTTGATGACCTGGTCACCACCCTCCTGCTAAGGAGCCAGGGATCCCAGGGGAGGGAAGGAGGGTAGTGATCAACCTAGAGGACAGGGGACCTGGGCAGACTTACCCCCCAGCCCAGGTGATGAGGTGATTGCCTCATTCTGAATATCCTGGGCTGTAGACGCATCCGCCAGCTGTCTGGCTTCCTAACCCTCCCCTTAAAGGCTCAGCCATGGTGAGGGCCCTAGGGAGAAGGCAGGGGGAGGAGAAGGGAGTGGGAGGCTGCAAGTGGTTCTCACGCTCTTACCGGGCACAGGCACGGTGGTTCCATATTTTGCAGAAGTCAATGGGTTTGTAGCCCATAGCATCTTGGGCATGGACATTGGCACCACTCTGCACTAGGACCTTCACACAGTCTAGCAGGCCCTCTCGGGCTGCCAGGTGCAGGGGCGTGGAGCCGTTGCAGGTCTGACTGTGGAAGGCCCCGCCAGTGGGGATGAGGACAGAAAGGAAAGATAAAGGGCATCTGCCCATCGGGTAGATGGACACACCAGTTTCCAGGCCCTGCTCTACCATTAGGGTTATTGGGTGACCCTAGCTATGTCTCTTCCCCTTTCGGTACGTCAATTTCCTTTACTGTAGAGGGAGGGATTGGACTACATGAATACTACAAATCTGACTTTAGGAGGTATGTAACAGTTAAGAACTTCTGGAAGGAGAGCTGGCTTGTTTCAGAGACCACTAACCTCATCCACTCTTAAACGAACCAGCCCTCTGCCATTTCCCTATGCCTCACCACGGCCCACAAGAGCTGCATGACCTGAGCCTAACCTCCTCAATCTTCTCCTTTGACCTTGCCCACTCTTTCCCAACACATGGTCTTTGCATATGATGTTCCCTCTACCTGGAACACTTTTCCCCGGCTCTTTGCATGGCTGCCTCACTCTCAGTCTTCAGGTTGCAATTTAAATGTCACCTCCTTAGAGGTGATTGCTTCATCCAAAATAGATCCTCCCCCTACCTGCTTTACTCCCCACTCCATCACCATGTTTATTTTTTTCCTAACCACTTCCCATGCTCTGTCAGGATTTTGTTCACTTATTTGTTTGCTAATTTGCTGTCTGCTCCCGCACTAGTGTGTCAGCTTCATGAGGAGAGGACCATTTGTGACTCTAGCAGAGTGCTTTGCACACAGTGCATGCTTGATACTTTGAATGCATGCGGTCTCCTGCATGCCATGCGCTTTTCAGTGATCACAGCAGTCCCATGTGACAGGCACTACCATTCTCTCAAATTTCAGCTGAAGACATTGAGACAGAGGTTCCCAAACTTAGCTACAAGTTAGAAGCACCTGGGGATCTTTTCTGACTTCCAAAGCCCAGCTCACACCACAGACCCAAAATCACAGCCTTTGGATTGGAACACAGGTGTTCATATTTTTAAGCTCCCTAGGTGACACCTAAGTTTAGTGTACACCTAAGTTTGGGAGCGAGGGCAGTTTGGGAACCAGGACAGTGGGGCTTAGAGATTGAGTGACTTGCCTAAGGTCCTGCTGTCTGCTAGCAAGTTGCAAAGCTGGGATGGGGACTAGGTCTGTCCTCTCCCAAAGCCCAGTCTCTCTAACTACGATACCATGTGGGTTCCAGATTGCTTTATGTGGGACCCAATCCTTATCACCTCCCACAGCCCCTCTGCCAGTCCTGCATGGGTTTGCCTGCCTGCACGCAGAGCTCCTGTACCCATGTCCGCAGCCTCCCTCCTGAAGCAGACTGGACTCACACATTGAGGGCTGCCCCTTTCTCCAGCAGGTAGTAGATGCAGGGGAGGGCCACACTAGTGTTGTCCCTGTGGATGACGAGGTGCAGGGGGGTCTGGCTATTATTGGTCAGCAGGTCCACGGGAAACTTGTACTCTTCTACCAGGACCTGCAGGCATGCAAGCTTGCCCCGTTGGGCTGCGAAGTGGATGGCAGTGAAGCCCTGTGAGGACCAAATCAGGCAGGAGGAGGCTGAGTGGGGTTGAGGTCCCAGGGTCCACAACTTAATTTATATAAATTTACTCTCTTCCCTGTGTCCCTAGGAATGCTCACACCCCTTTGCTAATTAATCAGTGTGTGTTCATCAGACCACCCAACCTCCCTGTCCCCAAAATGGTCCTTCCACAGCCAGAAGATGAGTTAAATTAGGAGAATGTACCCAGAAAAGGACATCTCTTCTCCAGGTGACCACTCCGAGCTGGGTAGCGAGAGAGGGACCTCGGTCCTTGCCCCCACACTCAAGGCCTTACCTTGTTGTTGGTGGGGATTTCCCCGAGGCTCTGGTTCAGACAGAACCGCAGCCATTCCACGTTGCCCACAGCGGCCGCGATCAGCTGATAGTAGCTCCGGATCGCCGTCTGGTGGATCGCTGTCTGGTCGGACTTCTCGCTGGGACTGGGGTTAGCAGCGCAGGGCGGGTGAGCGAGGCAGGGCGGGAGTGGGGGGCGTGGCGAGGGCAGTAGCCTGTGCTCGAAGGCTGTCGGCGAGGCCCGGCAGGGGCGGGCTGGTGGGCGGGGCAGTGGGGAATCGACCATGGGCCACAGCCCGGGCACCTCTTGGGAGGCGATCTCTGGCTCCCGCCCGGCTCTCCGGGCTTCTCGGGCCGCAGCCTTGGCCTCCGCCCGCTTGGTCCGGACACCTTCTCCCCCGACCCACCTAGGCTGCTTGGACTCTTCGTCAGTCCAGGTGGCCTTCAAGGAGACTTTGTTCTCCCGCTGCATGGAGCCAAGTGGAGCTGGCTGCGGCCGAGCCCCTCTCCCTTCTCCCCTTTCTGAGTGCCAGCTTCCCGAGCCCGCCCGCCGAGCAGTGCTGCCCGCGGAGGACATCGAGGGGCTGGAACTAGAACCTAGGCTGGGCGGGCTGTCCGCCCACCCACCGGCGCCTCGCCCCCGGGGGCCTCTCCTTCCCAGGCCGCCAGGGCCCGGTCGCCTCGCTCGCTGGAGGGGCAGAGACCCGGCGCCTCCGGGGACCCTGCCAGCCTGCCGCTCCCCACCCGCCGCTCCGCTCCCAGCCGGAGCCAACCCCCTCACCCAACATCCCAGCCCTGCTGCCGGGAAACAGCATCAAACACGCAAACAACAAAGACGCTTAGCTTTTGTTTCCGATTATCAAACTAATAAGTAGAAAACAGAAATGTTCAACGTGGAAATAAAAAATGAACATCCCACCACCCACAGGAATCACGGTCTGTTGCAACATATATGCATATCATGACTGTTTTTTGTTTTTGTTTTTTGCATCTCTTTTCATTTAATAGCATTAGATTATGAGCTAGCGCCCATTATCGTTCTACATACTGAACGTACATTATGATACAACCACAGCCCAGCGTCATAATGGCTGTGCCATTGTTTCACCTGTGCTGCCAAGAACAAAATGGCTCAACTCTGGTTGTTTTCTTAGAGTGGATTTCTGGGAGTGGAATCACTAGGTGAAAGGGAATTAATATTTTTTTACCTGTCAATATGGGATTGGAAACTGCCTTCCAGGAAGATTGTATGTTCCCTTCCACTTCCACCTGCAGCGAAGCGGGTGCGCTGCACATCAGCCATGTGGCTTTGGACAAGTGACTTGCCTTAGTTTCTGCACCAGCAAGATGGGGATAATAGAGCCTACTTTATAAGGAATGAAGGAATTCAAACAACGAGCTAGCAGAGAGGCCCTACCTGCGAATCTGCTGCTACTCAAATAGGAGCTATTCAAACTATTGCTGGCATCAGATATTAGGATTTTAAGTAAACGTTAAACTAATTTGGCAGCGGAAACGATGTTCCAGTGCAGCTCTTTAATCACCAACGAGCTTCAACATGTAGTTATCAGTGTTTTTGCCTTCTAGGAATTCTCTTTTTATGCACATTGTTCTTTGGGGCCTTCATGTGTTTCCTACTGTAAAACTTACTAGCATAGTAAGCCTTTATGTATATTTGTTGTCAATATTTTCCCCAGTTCGCCTTTTGACTTTTTGGAATAGATGGTAGCCACGCAATAACCGTGGCTTGTGCCAGTGTTGTCTTCCTGAGCCGTCCACATTCTTACCCTTCCCAACAGGAATGACCCCAAGCTTGTCGGAAGGCTCCTGTGGCTCCAGGGTCAATTCTGGGCATATCTGGCTACATCTCTCCACCCCTACCATGCTCTCTCCTCTGTACTCCAACATTCCAGGTATTCCCTAAGAAAAGGACAGAAAGTCCCCTAAAACCACAGGGATCTGCAGAGAGGGACAAGAATACAGATTATCCACCCATAAGCATCTTTCTCCCTTTCCAGGGAGCCCTCTTCTGAGAGCCCATTTGCCCCCCAACCCCAGTGGTCAGGACTCAGCACACCTGCCAAACATCTTCAAAACTAGCAAATCATGCTGGCTGGCTGCTCCAGGTAGGGCCTTAGCAACTGGCTTCAAGCTGAGATAAAGTGAAATGCGTTGCAGGGACAAAGTTTGAGGATTTCCTGGGCTATTGTTGTTTCTGGAGTGTTATGATTCTAATAATGACAACAGGACCTTGTGTGTGTGGTGGGGTTGGAGACAGCATCTCAGTACCTCTCCAAGTGCATCGTCACTATCTTGACCTGGAGTATCTTACATCTCTATACCAGTGTTTGGCAACTCCGGCTGTACAAATGCCAATGCAGGGGACTTACCCCTACAGATTTAGATTCATTCATCTGGTTTGGGGCCTGGGTGTTGGTACTTGTAAAGTTCTCCAGGTGATTCTCGTATGTAGCCAGGGTTGAGAACCACTTTGAGGCCTTTCTGCCTCAGTCCTCTTTCTAGGGAGGCAAGAGGCTTCAGGTGATTTTGAGGGAGAAGGGTCAATAGAGTAAGGCAGGAAGATATGGAAAACTAGCCAAGTCCCTGGGAGGAGAGAGTGTGTCCCCCTAAAGACCCCTTGGCCACAGCCATGCAGCTGGGCAAACAGATGATGTCCAGTGGAACGACAGGAGCTGGACCATGAGAAGGGCAGATAGAAGAAAATGCCCAGAGAAAGGTTTTATTTCTTCTTTGGAAGGTGATGGTAAGGGTATGCCTCCAGAGTAACTGGTTCTACAGCTCCAGGCAAGGGAGATGGAAGGCTGAGGGGAGCAGGCCCATTAGGAAGAAGTGGGGCCAGGACCTAGAGAGGCGCTGTCTGTACACTCCAGGGCCAGTACCCAAGGCCAGATACTCCCCATCCGTTTTCTTTCTTTTCTTTTTCTTTTCTTTCTTTCTTTCTTTCTTTTTTTTTTTTTTTTTTTTTTGAGATGAAGTCTCACTCTGTCACCAGGCTGGAGTGCAATGGCATGATCTCGGCTCACTGCAACCTCCACCTCCCGGATTCAAGAGATTCTCCTGCCTCAGCCTCCCCAGTAGCTGGGACTACAGGTGTGTGCCACCATGCTCGGCTAATTTTTGTATTTATTTATTTATTTTTTTGAGACAGAGTCTCACTCCGTCACTAGGCACCAGGCTGGAGTGCAGTGGCATGACCTCGGCTCACTGCAACCTCTGCCTCCTGGGTTCAAGCAATTCTCCTGCCTCAGCCTCCTGAGTAACTGGGACTACAGGCGCACGCCACCATGCCCAGCTAATTTTTTTGTATTTTTAGTAGAGACGGGGTTTCACCATGTTGGCCAGGATGGTCACGATCTCTTGACCTCGTGATCCACCGACCTAGGCAGCACTTTGGGAGGCCAAGGAGGGCGGATCACTTCAGATCAGGCGTTTGACACCAACCTGGCCAATGTGGCAAAACCCTGTCTCTATTAAAAGCACAAAAATTAGCCGAGTGTAGTAGTGCCTGCCTGTAGTCCCAGCTGCTCGGGTAGCTGAGACAAGAGAATCACTTGAACCTGGAAGGTGGAGTTGCAGTGAACTGAGGTCGTGCCACTGTACTCCAGCCTGGGTGACAGAGTGAGAAATCTGTCTCAACAACAGCAACAACAACAACAACACCTCAAAAAACTATAAAACTCTTAGAAGAAAACATAAGCATAAATCATTGTGACCTTAGATTAGGCAATAGGTTCTTAGATATGACACCAAAAGAAAAAATAAGCAAGAAATCATCAAAATTAAACACTTTTTTGCTTTAAAGGACATCATCAAGAAAGTGAACAGACAACACACACAGAATGAGAGAAAATATTTGCAAATCATTGGTGAAGAACTAGAATTGGTATGTCAAATATGTGAACAAATCTTACAACTCAATAATAGAAGTACTACCCAATTTAAAATGGGCAAAGGATGTGAATAGATAATTTCTCCAAAGAAGATATACAAATGATCGATAAGCATGGGAAAAGATGGCCGACATCATTCATTGGGAGGAAAATGAAAATCAAAACCACTATGAGATACCAGTTTGTACCCACTATTATGACTGTAATGAAAAGGACAGGTAATAAGGGTTGCTGAGGATGTGGAGAAGCTGGAACCCTCATATACTGCTGGGGGAAATGGAAAATGGTGCATCCACTTTGGAAAGCAGCTGGCAGTTCTTCAAAACATTAAACTGAGTTACCATCCAACCCAGCAATTCCACTGCTAGTTATCTATCTAAGAGACATGAAAACGTATCCTCATAAAAACTTTCACAGGAATGCTCATAAGTAGCAGTATGCATAATAGCAAAAAAAGTGGAAACACATGTCCAGAAACAAAAGGTGGTAAATCCATTCTGTGAAATATTGCAATAAAAAGAAATGAAGCACTGATGCATGCATGGATGAACCTTGAAAATATTTTGCTAAGAAGCCAGTCACAAAAGACCACATATTGGTCAGGTGCAGTGGCTCACACCTGTAATCTCAGCACTTTGGGAGGCTGGGGTGAGAGAGTCATGAGGTCAGGAGTTCAAGACCAGCCTGACTAACCTGGTGAAACCCCATCTCTGCTAAAAATAAAAAAAATTAGCTGGGTGGGGGGCACATGCCTGTAATTTCAGCTACTTGGGAGGCTGAGGCAGAAGAATTGCTTGAACCCGGGAGGCAGATGTTGCAGTGAGCCGAGATAGTCCCATTGCACTCCAGCCTGGACGATAGAGCAAGACTCTGTCTCAAAAAACGAACAAACAAACAAACAAAAACACCCCCCCCCATATTGTATTATTCCATTTATATTGGAATATCCGGAACAGACAAATCCATAGACACAAAGTAGGCTAGTAGTTGCTTAGGACTGAGGAGTGAATGGATTGTGGGAGGTGTTGAGAGGTGAAAGCTAGGGGTGCAGGGTTTCTTTTTTGGGGTAATGACAATTTTTTTTTTTTTTTTTTTGAGTTGGAGTTTTCGCTCTTGTTACCCAGGCTGGAGTGCAATGGCGCGATCTCGGCTCACCACAACCTCTGCCTCCTGGGGTCAGGCAATTCTCCCGCCTCAGCCTCCTGAGTAGCTGGGATTACAGGCACGTGCCACCATACCCAGCTAATTTTTTGTATTTTTAGTAGAGACGGGGTTTCACCATGTTGACCAGGATGGTCTCGAATTCTCGACCTCGTGATCCACCCGCCTCGGCCTCCCAAAGTGCTGGGATTACAGGCTTGAGCCACCACGCCCGGTGACAATGTTATTAATATGATTGTGGCCATGGATGCACAACTCCATGAATATACCAAAAGCTTAACTCATACAATTATAAATAGGTAAATTGTATGGTATGGGAATTATACCTCAATAAAGCTGTTATTAAATACAAACAACTCTTTGCCCTATGGACATCCAAAGCTTTCCCCAAGATGGCTGCAAATTATCTTGGGAATGGGAATCGGGAGGGCCTCCTTTGATGCTAGCTCTTGATTCAATAATTCTGACCTCATCTACAACACGTTTACCTAAAAACAAAACTCAG